GTCACTTTTCTGTAACATTTTGAAAAATCTACAATTACTAATTGATCAAATGAAATTCACAAGTGTACAAGATCACTGAAACGTAATATGTGATAAGTTACAATTATCTTTCCACAGTAAATTCTAATTAAAGTGTATTAATTTTCTATTCAATTTGAATTATTGTAAGACAAAAGAATTTGTTTATAATTATTCGAAGGGGTATGCAAAAGCTTGGTTTGTTTGTAAACTTATATGGGATGATTGTATTGGACGTAAAAATTCGTATTGTTATCTATTTTTATTGTATTTAACTTTCTTTTTCAAGATAAGTTAACTCTATTTTAAACACGATTCAATCATATTCCTAATCCGAATTCATAAAAGAAGTAATGCATTGAATCCCATGATTATGAATAAGTTTGCATATATCATACATGTTATTCCTAACATCTATTGTCATGTATTAATCATGCAATGTTCTAAACCTATTGTTAGCATTTCAATTTTACAACAAGTAACTAATTACCTAATTGATGATCAATCAGTTAAATAATGCAACAAATCATGCAAGATTAATCAAGAAAACCAAGAATATACTAACTCCTAGTCATTGAATTCAAAATAAGAACATATAGATTTCATATTCATCCAATACAATGAAAGGTTTAGCTTAGCATAATTTTTATAAAATTACAAGAGAAGAATATAAAAGATATTGATCTTCAATTTCAAGCCCTAGATCTTCAAATTCTCGATGTTATTAGCCATCCCTTGCTACATTGATCTTCTTTCCAAAATATGATGAATTTACCTCTTACTCTTGATGGATTTTGTGATAAAATGTGGTATGAGAGGCTAAAAGAGAGATCCTTTGATATTTAGCCTTTGTTATATATTTATGTGGTGAATTTAGGTCAAGAATAACCTCCAATTTGGGTTTATGAAAAAGTTTATATCACAAAAGAAAAAAATAAATAAATTGGGCCCATCTGTCAAAATTTGGCCCATGCTATGCATGACTCATATGCTTGCTTACGCATCGGCAAGTGAAATTGCCTATAACATATACATGCATGGGCTCTTTTGGCCCATTTAGAAGAACAATCACGTTCAATAATCAACTTATCCAATTTAAACTTTTGTTGATGGTTGAACTTTATTATAATTTAAAATTTCATTATTCTATTAAATTTTATCACTTACCGTCTCATATTGACAGAAATTACTTGATTGAAATTTATAGTATAACTTAATCATTGTGTAAAATTATAGAAACGAATTTGGTAAAACGAGATGAAAATGTTTTTAGATTAAACGGTTAAAAAAAAAAATTTATTTTAATAATTTTATGATGTGGCTCAATTATAGATTTGCATGCCACGCAGTCAATATGCAAAAGATTCATTGCGTATGATCGAAATTATGTAATTTTATCAATTTAGAAGATTGGAATTGGCGACGTGATGGAAATTTTAAGTGACCTAATATCAAAATAGATAGAAGTTAAGTTGTCTAGTTAAGACAAATTACATGTTTGTCTCCATTATTTCAAAAAATAAAATAAAATTCCGTATATTCATTTTCACCCACACATTCACATAATAAAATATGTTACTCATAAATCCAAAAGTTTTTTTTACTTAACTAAAAATAATAATTTAGTTCATTAAGAACATGTTTGAGTCCCCCGCCCCCCCAAATATTCTTAAAAAAAAAAAAAATAAAAAAAAATTTTTAAAAAAAAAAAAAAAAAAAAAAACGGAGGCCACCGAACCCTTTAAATTAAGGTTGAATAATCCTACTAAAATGTCATTGAAATCTCGATGTCTTTACTCTCAAACTTAAGAAAACTTTGATGGATCAATATTGACATGTTATAATTTGATTGATTTTAAATTTGATGTGGTCACGATTAGGATGGATAATCTCGTGTAGAGTTTAAAATGTAGTATATAAATTACTATTACAACTATAATGTGGAAACATAACATCTCGAAGTGTAAAAAATTGAACCAATCAACCCAAAACTTCTTCAATACCATCATGAAGTGTCCTATGATGTTAAGCTCAAATTTGTGTCACGTCGAAATATACACCTTCGTCAACGAGAATGGTAATGAATATACTGAGAGCACAGCCGAAAGCAACCAAGAATTTCACTAGAAATAAGCTCTCACACTTAACTCCTCTCTATGTTTTTCAACTCTCTAAGTTCAAATGAAAACTAGTGAATGCACGTATAATTATATCAACCGTAATTACTTTTCAACATCTGCACAATTATCATTAGATTCAATGTTAAGCAAAATAAAATCATTAAAAGCTAACTCTTCCCTAATGAAATGATACTTTACCTCATTATACTTAGAATGTTCACGATAAATAGGATTTTTACACAACATCGATGAACTTTGACTATAAATAAAAATCATAACATTATCATTTAAGAAGTTTAATTCACATAGAAGGCCTTTCAACCATATGCATTCGTTTACAGTTTCAATTAAGGTAATATATTATGCTTCTGTGCTGGAAAGTGTAACTATAAATTGCAATTGTGATTTTTAAGTGATACAATTATCACCAAAAGTGAAGAAGTAAAAAGGGGTAGATTTCCTTTGATCTTTATCCTCTATAAAGTCGAAATCTACGTATCATTTAAGCTCTAATTTTTTACTTCTCCTTTTAAATACTAATTCCCTTTTCAAAGTTCCAACTAGGCATCTTAAGAGCCATTTAAGTGCAGTCCAATGTGGTTTGCTTGGGTTAGACATAAACCTACTCAAGAAACTACCTACTTATACAAGGTTCGATCTCTTGATAATCATAGAATATATTCGGACCCAATGGCATTAGCATATGGAATATTACTCATTTCATGCATTTCTTCTTCTGTTTTAGGACATTGTACAGATAATAAATTCATGTGTGTAGCTAATAGTATATTGACAGATTTAACAAATTTCATATCAAATTTAGCTATCACATTATCCAAATAAGACTCTTGATTAATAGTTATCCTATTATTAGATCTATTCCTTTTAATAACCATGCCAAGAATTTTTGTTGCCTTTCCTATGTCTTTCATGTTAAATTTCGATTATAAAAGGTTTTTCATCTTTATGATTTCAACTTTACTAGAGATATAAGTAACATGTCATCCACATATAACAATAAATAAACTTCACATCCTACTTTAGATTAGAGTTATTTAAATACAGACATGCATCAAATTCACTCCTCTTAAAACCAGTTTTAAGCACATAAACATTAAATCCTTTATACCATTGCCTAGGATTCTACTTGAGACCATTCAAGGAATTTCTAAACAAGCACACGAGTTCAAATTTTCTCTTATCTCGAATCCTTGAGGTTGAGAAATATAAATCAATTCATTCAACTCCCTATGAAGAAAAATCGTCTTAACATATATTTGCTCCAACTCCTAATTATACTAGATAACTAAGGCTAAGACGAACCTAATAATTTTATACTTAATGACTGGTGAAAACACCTCTTTATACTCTATCTCTCCTCTCTCTAAGTAAATCCCTTCACAACCAACCTAACTTTGTATGTTAAAGGGTCTTTAGGTCATATTCCTTTCAACTTGTAGATCCATTTACAATGAATTATCTTTTGATTCTTTGATTTTTCAACCAATTTTCAATTCTCATTTTTGTTTAGAAACTAGATCTACTCTTTCATAGTCTTTTTTTCAATTTTCAAAATTTTTACGGCCAGCGACTTCCTCAAATGAAGCTAGTTCAACTAATTCCAAGGCTTCAAGACAATATTATAAGAGTCAATTAACAATATTGTAGCAAATAAAACATTATTTCAATTGTAAATTCAAGAGGGTGTTAGAATGAGCATATCAAGCAAACCAATTTGTCGGGTCGTATTGTAAGGAGAGATGCAAGTCTTTATCAATCTATGACATCCTCTAGCTATCCTAAGTCATTTAACAGCTGTTGCAACCCCAAGAAACACCATCGAGCTACCAATGGAAAAACTTTCTCAACTTCACCTTTTTGCTTGAGGCTATATTTGCTTCCATAGTTCATCAAGGAACAATATGTCTTTTTTCACCTTCGGCTAAACTAACTTCAGGTGCCCTCACGTGTTGCTCATGCGCTGATGGTGTGTCTCATGTGCAATGCTATTAGCTTTTGCTCATCGTTTAAAGTCTTGTGGTGGCCGTCGTTCGTCCACTAAATGTGTAGATCCTTCGAAAATCGGGTTTAAATTTTCGGTTGAACTTGTTTTCGAACAAAATCAAATCCCTCCAACTTCCAATTTGATTTTCAGATTCTTGTAACACTTTCTATAGCTAGCCTAAGCTCTGATACAATTTGTAGAGTTTGAAATGTAGTGTATAAATAATTATTGCAATTACAATGCAGAAACATAAATTCTCAAAGTATAAAAAAACGAACCAATTGACCCAAAACTTCTTCAACAATACCAATGGAATGTCATATGATGTTGAGCTCAGATTTGTACTGAACCGAATCATACACCGTTGTACACACAAATTGTAAAGGATATACCGAGAAAACTGCTGGACGCAACCAAGAATTTCACCAGAGAAAACCTCTCCCACTTAGTTCTTCTCTATATTTTCCAGTTCTCCAAGTCCAAATGAAAACAAGTGAATGCACATATAGCTATAGAGTCAAAATCAGTTTCAATACAAAATTCAGAACCAATAACAAGTGACATGACTAGAAATACAAAGTGATCACAAGATTAAAGTCCACAATTACATCAAATTAGCATGATCCTCGCGAAACACTCAATGACAATAATCATGTATCAAGTGGATTTAAGTAATCCACATCGCATCTCATCAAGCAACTCACTCATTTAGCCACGTCTCTATTCAATTCTTGGCTCACTCATTGAGCCATGTTTCTATTCAATTCTTGGCAGCTGCATTTATTTCACATCCTTTTAGAATGGTGTTGGCAATTGAGGGGCCACAGACTACTTGTGGTTGAAATTTGTATCAATCCTAGCACGGCCGGTCACTCTGTCATTTACTCTTTCTGTCCCAAAGTTTTAACAAACTCACTGCCCTAAACTCTTTCTCTTCGTCCCTCTCTATCCCTCCTCCTCTCTCAGTAAAACGCTATGCATTTCCTCAACTGCTCACTTTCTCATTGTCTATACTTTGATTTCATAGGTGGGTTTTCCAATTTCCTCAACCGTTCTTCAAATATTTGTGGGTTTTGTTTATAACAGTTTTTTCTGTTATTTGAAACTTAATGAGATTGTATTTAGATTAACATCGTCAATTTTCGCTGGTAGATTGTCAGAATTAGTTTGAAAGATGTACTATTTAGCAAAATTTAGGTGAATCGGTGATCATGGTAGAACAATTTGAAAAATATGAAGTCAATTCCTCTAAAAAGTTCCTTTTAATTTTTTCTTGCTTTAATGGTAAAGATGAAAAAAATTAGTTGTAAATGAAAATCTTTAGCTTCTGTTTTGAATTTCATCGAGAGACATCATACTTTTTCATGTCTGTTTTTAATACTGGGTAGTGCTGACAATATGATTCGGTAGGGTGTTTACATTGAATTCACTGAAGGCTAAAGTGTTTATGTAGTGATTTCAAACTGTGCCTATGATTATGGAAGTCTGAAAGACAATTATAAATTCCGATCTAGGAAACAAAGTAGGTCAAGTGCGATTGATATGTTTGATAAATTGAATGACAGAAGCTTTTTTGATCGGAGTAAATACCGGCAAATTGGAAAAGTTGCTGTATGAAGTCCCATGTGAAATTTGATTCTTGTATGGATAAACTTGATGTGCTTTTTGGTTCAGTTTCATAGAATAGTTATAAGATTGTAAATGTAAGATATTAGAAAATATACGTAGTTATAGGAGATTGCCTCTTTTGGTGCTTTAAGAACAGACTATGTTGATGCGAGAAAATAAAAAACATATATTGCTGGGTAGACCGTTGGTGTTCTCTAGGCAATACTTCCGCAAATGAGGAATTCTTTGCATCAAATTTTTTCATAGGTGCTTCCGATTATCATTTGCACAAAAAATCTGTTACAAGTTATGCCTGTATTAAATTATGTAGGACCTTGTGCTTGAAATATTTTGAATTCGCCTCATGCTCTTTTTCTCGCTTTTACATTCTGAAAATTTTGCAGGGAAATTCTAGCCTGGGTAATTTGATAATTTGCCTTCTGTAATAATCCTTTCTCCATCACTCACAAAAGCTACATAGAAACTAGAGTTCCATCAAAAATTAGAAAACTATGGCTAAACCAAATGGGTTTCTTCATTCATCTGTCAAGTCACCACAGCATCCTAAGTTATATGCTAAACAAAGCAATGGACATCTCTCCATGTTGAAAAAGAGGTTATCTAATGACGGATTCTGGCATTTTGGTGGAAAACTAAATACTTTGATTGGATCTCGTGGAGCTACTTTGACATGTCACTCAACAGAAACACGGAATACGGAAACAGAAGAGTACGTGAGACACTATGATGATTGTGCAAACATATCCAGGTATTGGAGCTCTCATATAAAAGCATTTGATGAATTCCAGTTGATCAAGCACGTGACAATATAAATGAAATAATTAAATGGTTATTAGCATATCTGTAACTGTTAAGTCTCAGATAACTATTCCAGCTTATGATTTTTCATATTGATTTTGTTGTTTTCAGTCTTCATAGGTTAGATAATGTTAGACTAGTGTTAGTTATGCATTTTCTTAATTATGTATTGTATTGTAAGTGTCATGGGGCAAAGGACGGCATGCCTCTTCCAACTGTTTTCTTATATTCTCTATAATATCAATCAACGTAGTTAGTTTGTGATCATATGTAATTCTGTTAAACCATGACATAAATAAACTTATTTAAATACTGTGATACAACTTATGGTTAGAATGTAGATGTCCACTCCTTTTTATCTTGTATGATTGCTTGAGAGGCAGGCACCCAGACATTAAGTGCTTCACATGTTTGTTGGAATGCGGAAGCGAAATTATCCAGAATTTAAAATTTCTTTAATTCAATAAACAAGATCGTCTAGATGATCACGTGTATGTTATATCCAAAATATAGAATTCGAATTTTTACCTAAATTCAAAAATCAATTCTTGAATAAATTCTGAATCACGAACTTCCAGCCTTTTTGGATCACGAACTTCCAGCGTTTACTTCCAAGAACTTGATGCTTAAAACGTCCAAGTTTTCTATGGTATTCTCCAGAGTCAAGACTATACCGGTGGATGGACACCTTCTTTTAATTAAATCAATGAACTAATTCTTGAACTGAACAATTGAAAAATCAACAAAAATAATTTTTTTCTCTCCAAAATTTAAACACTGTGGAATTATGTCTTATGAATGTTGTGCAATTGCATTTCATAGGATATCTAAGATTCATCTAATCTCTATTTATAGAGATAGAAGAGTTTCAATCCTTATACAATAATAATTCCACATTCAAACAGGAGTTCTAATTAAAGTCCAAATTCAATTAGTTTATAATTAATTTGTGTAGTCTTATAACTTCAATTACAATTATAATCAAGTTTACAACTTTCGTAGTAATTATAACTAAGTATAAAACTTTATTGTAATTACAATTTAGCCCAAAACTATTATAATAACCATAATTAAGTTCCAATGCTTCATGAAGCTACCATAGGGACCGGATTGGACATATATTATCCAAGCTCCAATAATTAGATCTTGTCTAGTTGACTCTAGACCACCAAATCTAATTGTTAGTCTTTGCTTTTTCCACTAAAGGCAAAAGACTGAACTCGCAGAATATATAAGATCACAGAAGCTAATAAATCTGTAATACTTTCCTCTAACCTGCTGTATATGTATTTTATCCCCGTTCGAGATCCGATTATTAAGTACGAGCATAAATGACCGTTTTGTTCCTTTAATTATTCTCACTAACATAAGTTTTATTTTCTTCAACGGTCCTGTGAACTATTCATAGATGTCGAAGTTTAGTCATCGTTAAACACTGAACTTAGATTTTAACCATTCAACAAAAAATACTCAAATAGTCACTCTACCCATTTTTCAAGACGACGGTTCCCGACACGAATTCATATTCTCTACTCCACTCATTCTCAAGTTCTCAACTCATTGAGATATTTGACCAATCAAATTGATCTTACCCTCATGAATAAAGAAATCATTAAAATCACGAAAAAATATACATAATCTTGTCAACGGATTTAGATGAAATACACAGCAGTCTAGTGGAATTTAATTCTCCGCAAGGTCATGCTGTAGAATTAAATTCGACACGCGGTCCGTTCAGTACACTCCCAAGTGTACTAGCGTCACCTTTAATTATTTCTGTGATAAGGACAAATTACAAACCTAAATAATGAATCTGTCAACACTACAACCTTCCAGTATGAGGTGCCAACCCATATACATTGGTTGTGAACAAATTATTTATGATCAAAATATAAGTTGTGTCACACTGTACTTTTCAACACAAATACCCAACTTATATTATCTCAAGTGATCATAGACACTTTAATTTGCATGCTCAATAATAAATAATGCAATAAAACCACAAATTATTTATTATAAATGATTGTTTTATCACAACAAAATATACTATATGGCCACACAACCTAACAATGTTTGCCACCAAAACATTATTTCTTTTTCCTAAATTTACACATTGGCAAGTTTTAAAATGTAGTTGATTTTGAAGCTCATCTTCATTTTATGCATCAGTGCTCAAGCTGGAGATGAGGATTTCATTGAGACAGGAAAGAATATTACATCAAGTCAGGGATTAGCTGAAGCATGTAAATTTGTTTGTGAGGATGCAAAATTTGTGAATGAAAGGGCTAAGAATGACATTGTATTGCTCTTCAGGTGAGTAGTATGTGCAATTGAACTCCTTTGTTTTCTTCAAATGACCTCGCAGAGGTGGAAAGATTATGAACTGCCTTGGATTTTATTTCTGTTCCTTTAGAGTCTGGTTTGGATACCGTTACCATTTTCATTGGAATGTGCTGATATGATAAAACAGTCTATATTAGAATGATAACACCTTATACTTTTGGATCAATTGGTTGAATATGGTACTAGAGCATGCAAAGATCCTGGGTTAAAGTTTCGTTATAACTCAATAATGAAATTGTACCCAAGTTAAGCTTTGATACTAAGAATTGAACCCTCCCTACATGTGAGGCCTAAGGAGGCGTGTTGGAGGCTATATTTAAACAATAATACTTTCTAATACTAGTGGTGCTAGAGCACCAGTTTAGGTTGCTACATTGTATAGGTTCAATTAAATGAATCATGTTACTTTGTATTTAAATGAATCTATAATTTTGTATCATGTAATTGCCACCTAGACTAGTGCTTCACACATGAATATCATTACTCATATGTTAATGATATACATTTGGTTATCTCTAACAACATAAGCTTTTAGATCAACACTTTTTTTCAATAATTTATGTAGTTTATCAATGACAATAAGTAGAAAAGTAACCATTCACGTGGAATACATGATAATAATTTACCATTTCTAATAGGAGCATAATGAGGTTGGATGCTCGTGCACGTCAAGATGTTGCTTTTCTCAGTTCAGAGTTCCTTAAGCTAGATGGTAAAAAATGGCTATACTATCTTGAAATATTAATATATGATATTGAAATATTCTTTTCTGTAATTCAAGTAGCTTGACGGCTAAGAGTTGCTGCAATTGAAGTATTAAGTGTTTTTCTATTTAACATTTGACATAGTGGCTAATTTGGTTGGAATATTAAATTAGTGACGTCACTGGCATTGGAGCGAACCAAATTAGTACATACAATCAAAACATAAGTCAATTTAGTTTTTTTTGACACAATAATATTTGATAGTCTATAAGAAAAATATTGTTCACCTGAAAAATATGAGAAAACTGAATCAGGAACTTAATAATTTGACAACAAACAATGGAAGCATGAGAAAGAAATGGGATTCGAGAAGAGGACAAGAATTTAGGGCAAAGAAAATCAATTTATTCATATATTCAAGGAGATCTATTACGATGAATAAGTCGTCTATATATAGAGCAACTAAACTAAATTCGAAAGAACTTTTAATATATTAGAATTTTATCAAAATAATAAAACTAATCTAATATAATTTCAAGAAATATATTTTGAATTAAACACTAATTTAAAATCGTATATACACTCTATTTCTATCTCCACTATTTCTTTTCGATTGAGAGAACTCGACTTCAGCAAGGTAGGCTGCTACTTAGCTAAGGAGATCGATATTTTGTCTTGATCAAATGTGGGTATTGAACTCTTGATAATAGCACGAAGTTGAACTTATATAAAGGGAGTTATTAAAAACCAAATATTGAAATTGATAAAGCAACAATATCTGAATCTGTAAATCATACCCAAGAAGACTGATCAACGGGGATGATATTTCTTTTTAACCCTCTTCCGATAACGGACTCCGAAAAGTAACCTATGATTCAATCAACCCTCAAAAAATTACTTGGCCATACATAATGAAGTGAACCACAGACTAGTATTGCAGACAAGCCTGCAGATACAAATTATTGCAACAATTGTGGCTCGAATGTTCCCCGATAAGAAAAACTCTATTATGTTGAAAAACTTTCATTCAAGTATAATGGCCAGTCCAATAGATTATCTTTATGTGAGTAATCCATAAATCTTTTTTAAACGTCTTCAGAGAATCAGGTCAAAGAAACATGAATAAAGCATAATAATCACCATTATAGTCTTCGGTCCTATGTTGCACATCACAAGATTGAAAATAATTTGTCTTTTTATCTTGATATGAAATTTAGGAACATTGAAAAAAAATTATCCTCCCTTTTTATAGAAAAAGTACGCAAGTGGGTAATTACCTTGGATAAAAACAAGGCCATGCGAGGAGGATATCTCATTTAACATAACACAAAAACAAATTCAATGTGAAAGTCATGCAAGAAAGTGGGTGATATCAATTTTGGCTGAGTTGGCAATACTATAGGTAATTCCTCAAGGTTATCATGGTCGATTATGTCCAAGACCAGTTTGAGAGTGAATACAAGTCAAGTATCAAAATTCTCATCCTCGCTAGTTGAATAGCCAACAGGTTTAAGAGTAACAACTCCACTTTCTTTTTGAAGAGGATTAACACAACCAAACTTATGAAGTAACTGGTGGTATTGGGGTGGTATGTTTAGTTTTTTACATGCTTGACGAATACAATAGGATATGTACCAAAGGTTGACCTTTTGGTAAGCTTCATCTATGGATTGGGGTAAGGGAATGTCGTCTGGCAAGATTTCAAAATTCAAACTATTCAGAAACTTGGATGTTGTAACTGGAGAGCTTCATAAATATCACAATTATACAATAGCTCTTTGAAGTGGGTTAGATATTAACAATGGACGTCCTTGCCTATAGTGTAAAGAGGAGTTATTTAACAATTGACTTCGATAATACAAAAAGATGTATTTGTTACTTAATATTTGATTTATCTCATCTTACGAAGTGATATAACGTTGACTTAGACGATTAATATTATGCAAAACTGACTTTCAATAGCTCATAACAGATCCTAAAAAGTGCCATATTAGTATAATAAATATGAAGGGAGTCACTTAAGTTGTAAAAGTCAAAGAACTTTCAAAATTATTAGCCAATCAAAAATTGACTCGGGGCCGATCAAACCATCAAGTCCCAGAACTGTAAGGTAATTCACACAGAAGGATTATGAATGTCACATAATTCTTAGATGGGAGATAATTGTATTGATAAGAGGGAGAAAGCACATGATCTTGTGAACAACATAGGGGTTTGGCATAAGTGTAAAAGATGGTATAGAGTTCGTATATGATGTAACGGAAGTGCTAAGACAAATCAATTTTTAATTATCTATTGTTATTATTATTTTATTTATTTTCGAATTGAAAATAAAGCAACTAAATTAAAAGTTTTTTATTTTATTTTTAATTTAAAATTTACAAGCCAAAACACCAAAATAAAAGCACGTTTCAACACAAAAGAAATTGGTACCTCTAAGACTCAAAAGAGCCAAACAGTGTCCAAATCATTTTTTCAAGGTAGCACAGCTAAAATGGAAGAGCGCACAAGTGACAATGGGTTGCTGCAATTGAATTCTCCTAAGCGACTAATTCAATCAACAAGAACAAAACAAATCACATATCCTGAAAACAGTAGCCCATATTTTTTTCTCATGGATGAATTATGTCTATTTAGTTTTTTCGAAATTTCTTTTTGGATAAACTAAAACGAAACAAAAATTTATTGCCGAATGATTTTTCTTAAAGTTGATGGCTATGGGGTCTTGTTAGAGTTTTCGATGGGGTCTTGTTACCTATCAAAAAAAAAAAAAAAGGAGTTTTTGATTGGATGATGGTGATAGTGATGGATAAGCGGATTTGTGAGTAGTAGTGAAGTAAGAATGTAACAATTTGACAACGAATAATTATAGAATGAGAATGAAAAATACGAGTAGATAAGAAGTTTTAGGGCAAAGGGAAAATCAATTTATTCATATAATCAAAGGGTACTCATTACAATGAATACATATATAGCCGCCGTTTGGTTTCAAGCCAAAAAATCAATTTTTTGACCATTATTTAACATAGTCGACCATCATTTTTGACCATTTCACTCACAGGTGGGATCCACCTTTCATGTAATGGTCAAAAAATTGATTCTCATAATCCGCACCAAACAAGTCCATATCAATTAAGCTAAACTCAAAAGAACTTCTAATAAACTAAAACTTTATCAAAATATTAAAACTAATATAATCTAATTTTAACAAATATAATTTGAATTAAACTCTAATTTGAAATCCTATCTAAACTCTATTTTTGTGTCCATCAAAGACTAAGCAGTAAGCAAGAAAAATTGTAAATTTGTTAGTAAGTGGCGGAGAGGAGACAAGATTAAACAAAATGATTTACATGATTATGATTCCTCATCTAGATTATCAAATTCTTCTTTGGTAGCACGAGCTAGAGAAGACACCGAGAAAATTGACCAGGACGTGAAGAGAAGAGCGGAAAGGCTTCATCGTGTTGCTACTGTAAGTATTCAACTTCTGAGAATTGTTAATAAAAACTAGAAAAGTCATGTAGAAATGATCTTGTCATGATTATGTTCCAATAGTCTTTGTTTCTTGTCAGATTCTGAAAAACAAAGCTCAATCTAGATTGAAATATGCTGCTGACAAGCACTGGAGTGATGGTGCCTTAGAGGTGCCTTTACGTAATCGCTACAATCTCATGCATAATTTTACTATATTAATAGCATTGTTTTCTTATCTATCTAGTTTAAAATTTAAATTAGACAGCTTCTTCCTTTCGTACTTGTTATTCCATTTGTTTCTATACTTTGTGCCCATTCCTTTTTTCCGTTTCGGCATTGAATTAGTGAAGTAATAAGAATGTCTTTCAAAAGTTTATCACTCATTCTATGTTTTCTATAGATGTTTTGATAGAGCTAATTCCATGCTGTTCTGAGCTTCTCGTGATTTTCACTTGATTAATGGTTTATGTGCATGACTTAAGACCAACCTCGTCATATTCAGGCTGATCTGAGACGGGCAGATTTTGCTGCCAAGCAACGTGCAATGGAAGATGCTTTCATGGCTTTGGAGGTATTATCATCAGACAACACTGCTATATTTGTATCACACACTTCTCCATTTCTTCTAGCTGTGCCCACTTTTCCTAACAACCTAGAGAGTTCATATTTCTGTTTTCTGGATTTGCAGTTTGTCAAAAACATACATGATAGGATGGTGAGAAAGATGTGCAGATTGTAAGTTTCCACAACGCTATATTTTCCCAGTCATGACAAAGTAGATCTAGCCTTTAAGTTCTTTACTGGTATTCGGTTCTTCATACAGGAAGAACAGTTCTGTAAATTCTAGTGCGGCAGCAGGGCGTATAACACTGGAAAAGAATGGGAAAACCCTTGACTTCATAGAGGTGTCTGCCGATCGTATTAATGCCATGCAGGTTTGTCACTTAACACTTACTGAAGTTACAAAGTATATTCACGATTAAATATCTTCGTTATGTATCATGTATGTCGGGTTAATACAGGAAGCTTATTGGAGCATAGCTTCTGCACTTTCAGAAGCTGATGGAATTGATTATACTGATCCTGAAGAGGTCCAAGTCGAATGAGTGCATAATTCAAGTTTTCTCTCGTCTGTTGGAATTTTAAGCTGCTTTGCTTCTTCAAGTACTTACTATGTTCTGTTTGGAACAGCTGGAGTTGTTAGTTGCAACTCTTATTGATCTTGATGCAATGGATGGTAAAAGCAGTGTATCTCTATTGGCGGAGTGTTCAAGTTCTCCTGATGTTAATACCAGGTAATTACTAGTCTATTACCATAATATTACAAATTTAATCCAAACAAAATCGCCCTATTATGTATAATTTGGTTTCTAATTTAAGAAATTTCTTCTTTTAAGTATTTCTTCTCTTCGCATAATACTTGAACTATCCCCCATTTTATAATATCGAATGCTTGATATTTCATATGTTATGTTGATTGGTCATATGCTTAGATGGCTTAAAATAATTTTCTAAATCATCCATCGTTGCCTTCAATTGTATCCATGACCAAAAAACCCACATCAATCAACTCAGTATAATTTATTATTACATTCTTGCTTTGTGCTTGTGCATACATCACTATCCATGACCAGAAAACACATATTAATCGAGTCAGTAAAATTTACTGCATTACATTTCATCCCCACCACCCAAATAAATAATTTTGCTATCTTTATGCTCATGCATTTGTCTAGGGTTGAACATGGTCTAATTCGATTCGAACCAAACTCGAATTTTTGGGTATTTAGTAAGTGGAACCGTTGGGTCTAAATTTAATTGTGAAACCATTCGAGTTCGATTCCATTCGCTTTCTAGGTTTTATACAATAATTAATTTTTTAAATAAAAAGAAGATGAAGATAACGAGCTCACTATAATGAAGAGAGGCGTAGTTGAGCTTTCAATTCGATTTCTCTAGAACTATAGAAACGACACTACGATAAAATAATAGGTTTGGGCAAAATTTAGGTCAATTTGATTAAGTTGGGCTTGGGCAAGAATTAGAAATATAAAAATCATATTTTGGGTTTAAGCTAAATTAATTAGTTAGCAAATTTATTTAGAAAAAATAAAATAATTTGACCTATTCAAGATAAATAAATTAAAAAAAATCGAGAGATTCGGTTCTTCTATTTTTGGTCTAGAATCAAGAATCGAACCGAATCAATCAGTTCTCTATGTAAATACTCGTTCAGGTATATAACTTAAGAAGAACTACTCCACTCGATTCGGTTCAGGTCGGGTCCGGTTCAGTTCAGGAGTTTTGTCCAATCCTACATTTGTCTATAACCAATTCCATTTTGTTTCATCTCTTTCTTTCAATCTTGTATATTCACCTGGGAGTCGTGTCTGTCTCTTTGAGTTCTTTCTGTTTCTTATTTTTCTTTTCTAATTATGGTTCCAGCAATGCCTTTTTCATTAACTAATTGACACACTATTTGAAGCCCTCGCTCTCTATAGAGCTTAGTTGTTGAACCCACAAATAGTGATATTGTAATCGGCAGTGTCTTGTTATGTTGCTTCGAGATTGAGGAATCAGTAATGATCCACAAATCGAGTGGTTATTCTCACGAGGAAGTTTAGGGCATAAGCATGATCATTGAGATTTTGAAGAAAGGAGACGTTCAAATACAATGTTTGATATCCAGATTAAATTAATCCGGAAAAGCTATATTATGTGAAATCTGAAAAATGTAAAAGAGGTTTTCTAGCATTGGCTGCTACGTGGATTGAAGAAAGTGCATCCTGACTCTATGCTTGGAGAAGCTATAGAAATTTTTTATTGTAGTCTTTTAATTATTTGAAATTAAATTGAAGGTCAATTCAATGATGACTAAGTCTTAGGAAGTTGGATCGGAGACTTACTCTCATGTTGAAGACTAACCATTCTAATCCTCTTGTTCTTCATGGCGAAGACTAACTCTCATGCTGAGAGTAACCGCTATAAATTTGTGCATTTGTTGGCCTGCGTTTTTTATTTCGTCTTAATTAGGCTCTCTGATTGAGATTATGGCTTCAACCTACATCACTATGGCGATTAAATGAACTAAATTTGCTTATATTTTCATTCCTTGAAAATCTCTGGTTTGCAGGAGAGCATTAGCTAACGCATTGTCAGTTGCACCATCCATGTGGACTCTCGGAAATGCTGGGATGGGAGCTTTGCAGGTACGGAGATTTCCCAACTCCGTTTTCTCCTTATCAGTTTTTTGTTTCTTGTGTCCTTCAAACCGTCATAATGTTAAAACTGCTAACTACATCGCAGAGACTAGCAGAAGATAGCAACCCTGCAATTGCTGCTGCTGCATCAAAAACTCTCTGTGAATTGAAGAAGCAATGGGAAATTGAAGAAGGAGATAGCTGGAGATTCATGATGAACCCCAGTCTGCTGGAAGAAGAAGAGAAAAATGATAATACAGAAACAGGCTAAGAATTCATATTCGTAGTGTAGATATCTGGAAGGGCGGAAATGAGTGATTATTAGATTAATCACTAATCGATGGAAATAGTTATGTACAAATAATCTGATAGTTGAAAACCCTTTTTCCTGTTCATTTGTAAAGAAAACTCACCATTCCTCTTTTATTCCTTCTGCTTTCTACTTTTAATTCTATTTAGTAATTGAAAAAAAAAATGAAAAAGAATTATTTGAACTTTCGACTTAAAATTTATCACCATTCCTCTTTTATTCCTTCTGCTTTCTACTTTTAATTCTATTTAGTAATTGAAAAAAAAAATGAAAAAGAATTATTTGAACTTTCGACTTAAAATTTGTTGTTGAGGAATTTGGTGACGAATCTTTTTTTTTAATCATATATAGATTAATAATACATAATTTAAATACTAATAGATGCAATATCATCAGTTCATATTTATAAATTTATAAATTAAAACAAGACGTTAATTATACATATTTGCTTTTTACAAGTAAAAAATTAGCTAAAAAAACAATTTCGGAAAGTTTCGATGTCTTGCACAAGACGACAAGAAAGAAAGTAAACGTTAAATTATTTTTATTTTTCATAATTGACGGCCAATGAACCTAACTGTAGCTTTAATTTTAAATTTTAATTGAAATCATTCTCCCCCAATACTAATAAATAAAAACTAGTTATCTTTTTCTTATAGTTTGTGTTACTAACATTTAAATACATTATAATTTGTGTTCATTTTGTTATTTTAAATCTCTAACGAAGTTATTTCTAATTGAAGAAAATTTTACAAGGATATTTTAGATATATCAACTTTATTTTAGATGAAATACGACTCAAAAATTGGAGTATGATACTGAGAACTACAAATAAGGGAAATTAATGAGATTTTTTAAAAATAAGACGTGTTTTTGAAATTTCATAAAATTAAGCGCTTTTTCGATATCGTATCTACTTTCAAAATAAGAGAATCTTTGACCAAGCTTAAAAGTTCACTTATCCACTTCTTTTATGATGTCAAACTAGGCATGTCAAAATAAGCGAATGGTTAGGCCACCTGCCTTTACTAAGGTCAGCCTGTGTAAAAATACAATCCAAATAATCTTTGCCCTTGTTTGGTGGCCATTTTTTCGAATAAATATTGTTTTGAATAATTAATTTTTGAAGAATATGTAGTTAAAAAGTTTTGAGTTTACATTTAAAATATTTTGTTGTGTGAATATATAATTAAAAATGAAGATATATAAACAAAAAAAAAATGTGTTTTAAAAGAATGGAAGATAAATAGGGGCTTAGAAGTGTCTTGTGGATAGGACCTCTCCTGGATCCATCAATATTGCAGCCCACGTCAATTTAAATCTTCATTTGTTGCCCCCGGAGCACATCCCAACTGGCAAAGGACGGAATTCTTCAAGGCGGATAGTTCAGAGGTCGCGAGTTCGATCATGGGGCTCTTGAAAGACAAGTATTTCTCCTCGAAGGTATGATATTTCCTGGAAGGCAAGGGGCATACATGGGTTTGACTCATTCGACACTTTAGCAGTTCAGTTGGGGGGGCTCTTGGACCCTGAGCAGTTTGGGGTACAACCCGCGGTTTACCTGGTCTGAGTGAAGAGGGGCTGGATCGTAGATCTCAGGATAAGTCGCTGTATGGTGGACACCTTGGTATAAAAAAAAAATCTTCATTTGTTTTAGAAGAAAGCCATTTTTTTTTGGAAGAGATCCCGATGAGAGTATTCCAAGCAAATAAGAGAGTACTCGCACAAAGATAACGATATCTTAAATCATCACGGTAAGAGTTACCATATGCAGGTGCTATCAATGACCATTAATAAAAAATAATACCTTTGTGATCACTCGTAAAATCAATATTCATCAGCAGTTTTTACTAACTTCAAGAACGATTTGTGAATTTTAGCTTTGATAATTTTCGCCGATGAATTAACTTATTTTCGACTTTGATAAACAAAACAAATATTTATTTTAAAACTTGTGTAAAACTTTTAAGCTTAGCCAAACATCCATTAATCTTGAGAGACTCATTTGCTCATTATAAGTTAGATATAATTGACATAAGCAAGGCTGAGCGAAAATTGTGTTGCTCGGTGACACAGTGAATGTCATAAAAGATACGAAAATCGAAAATTTGTTTTTAATATTTCTTGAAATCAATCGAAAATATATCTATTATAGGATTAGTCACAAAAGTTAATAAAAATATCATCTAAATAGAAATTTCTTCATATTTCACAACTATCAAACTCAAGATGGTATTCTAGAAATTAAATTATAAAAGTGAAGATAGAGTTTTTCATTTTGTCCAATTTACATGAATAATTACACAAAGATTGTTGTGTTTTGATATCCAATGAATCCTGAGCTATGGTGTAAATGTCAAAATATTACTTTACAGGCTCGGTCAATGGTAAATTAATTACCAACAACCAAGTCCAATGGCTCAACTCAGTCCACATATATTACCTCTTAGATAATTTTGAATCTTGGTCCATTTAACCTTATCATTAGTCCAACTAAAGTCGTTTAATGTGTAATTTTGTGTGAGAAACAAGAAGAAAACGTGGCTGCATCCTTCTACCAAAAATCGGTTGAATAGTGAAGAAAAAATCGGCGATTTCATCTTTTGTTTTGTACTCTATCTCGTGTTTCTTCCATCGTTTTTTTTTGGTGCCTTCATGGCTTACAATACAGTATCATAATATTGTCCTTTGTGGGTAAGATTAAGAAACAACCAAGGTGAATAAATTGGTTGTGGGTTGTGGCTGTTTGAATTGGTTATTTGGTAAATAAAGATAACATAAAATTGTGCTCGAAAATCACGATTTGACGATCGTTGGAACGAGCTTCTCACAACGAAAATAAATCTCAATATGTTAACTTTCATTAATTTGATTTATATGAAATTTAAATTTGTATTTCTCTCTCTCCGCTTAGTAATAACATGACAATTGACAAATATGATGAACTTTGATCCTTTTTTGAGTAGGTAGGAAATTGACGAACAGATAGAGCACACGAAAGTCAATGATTACTCTGTGAAGATTTTGTAGTATAGATGATGATATATTTAAAATTAATTACAGACGTTATATAAATAAATAAAAACCTCAACACCAGGTAAAAAATCATTAAATTGGAAAAACCTTTATGAATAGAATCTAATATTACAGACGTGTTTGTCTCCCAAGAAGGCATATCTCAAGTGTTAAGGCAATTGTTTAAGTTCAAGAATTGGAGCTTTTTGAATAGAAGGTAAAGATTTCGTAGGATCTTCACCTAGTTCCAATTGAGTCGATCTCAAAGAGGGCGGATTTCCTTCCAATTGTCGAATATATTCTTCGATCTCTTTTGATTCATATGGCTCTTTAGAGAATGAACCAAGCATGCCTCAAGAGGATCTTGAGGGTGATTGAGTCAAAATGTATTTGTCATTGTCAAGTCCAATACATCAATCTGGCAACAAGAATCGGGTTCATCATCAAATTTGAGCGCATTTAAGACATTGATGGTAATTTCTTTGTCATTCATTCTAAAGATCAACTGTCATTTCTACACATCTATCAAAGCTCTTCTAGTAGTCAAGAATGGATGACCCAGAATGAGAGGGACATCATTGTCTTCTTCCATGTCCAGGATAACAAAAGTCAATCAACTTTCACCAAAATATCTTTAACAATTCCCCTTGAATATTTGATTGAACTGTCAGCTAGCTGCAACGTCACTATTGTAAGTTTCGTTTCCCCCCAAACCTAGTTCCCTGAAAAGAGATAAAGACATCAAATTAATACTTCCCCTAAATCACACAATGCATTTTTTTATGTATTTGTTATCAATATTGCGAAGAATAGTAAAACTCCCTAGATCTTTTAATTTTGGTGGTAACTTATGTTGAAGTATTGCGCTGCATTCTTCGTTCAGCATCACCGTTTCATTATCCTCCAGCTCCCGTTTATTTAATAATATGTCCTTCATAAACTTAGCATAGCTGGGCATCTGAGTTAAAGCTTTTGCAAATAGTATATTGATGTGCAACTTTTTGAACACCTCCAAAAATTTTGAGAACTGTTTATCAAGCTTGTGTTTTTGCAGCCTTTTCGAGAATGGGATTGGAGGCAAGTATGCTTTGACAAGAACGGTTGCCTTAACCTGTGAATTGTCTGTTGTAGCATCCTGAGTTTCTTCTGTTGTTTTATCGAACTTATCCGCGTGTTCCTCGCCCGTAATAGGTACATTTTTTGTAGTACAGTTGGTCTTTTTATCGATATTTCTAGCAATTGAACTCTACTTCAAGTAGTGATGGCCTATACCTGTTCTTTAGTATTTATCTCGGTATTGCTCAGTGGGGTCCCTTGAGTTCTATTTGCTAATGCAGCTACCATCTAGTCCATCTAAGTTTCCAAATTTTTAATTGCAACATTTTGGTTCTGGAGAATAGTTTTAGTCTTGGCCATATACTGCCCCAATAAATCTTTAACTGATGGCTTTCTCGGTTGTTGTTGCTGTTGTTGTTGGAATCCCGATGCTTTAGTTTGAAAATTTCCTCCTTAACCTTGATTATCAGCCCACAAAAAATTTGGACAATTCCTCTAACCCGGATTATATGTATTAAAGTAGGGATTATCCTGTTGCCTCTGAAAGTTTTGTGCATAGTTAAACTCTTCAGGTCGAATTACATGTGTGGAGGCTAAAGGACATCTTTTTGTAATATGATCTACACCGCACCCTTCGCAAACAGGTTTTTGACTGGTGTACCATGTTTACATTTTGGGTAAGGCTATCCAATTTCTTTGTCGATGCTTCCATTTAGGCTACTAACGATGTAGTTATGTCAATGTTGTGAAATCCTTCTGTCCTCTTGGCACGTCCATGTCTATTGATCACATAGATTGATTTTCTGCAATTCGCTCAAAAAGGTCTTAAGCATTTTCTAGAGGAATATTCAATATCGACCCTCCTGCAAAAGCATTGACGAAGTTGCGAAATTCAGGTCTCAGGCCGGAATAGAATTTGCAGATCTTTGATTCTTTGGAGATAATCAGAGTGGGGCACTTCTTGAAATATTTTTTGAATATTTTTCACACATCTGAATAGCTCTCAAGGTCCTTTTGATTAAAAGTATGGACTTCATTGAACTCG